GTATAGTAACCTTCCTACTATCTATATGTATCCCATAACATTTTGTATTCCTTAAATATACACAATACAATTTATTTCTAAAAAGTCCTAGAGGTCTGTAAGAATGGTTTTTTGTTTTTTTTTAATAAAAGTACCTTATCCATTTTTAGCAACACTAAAAATTGACTTAGATATTCATTATCCTCTACCCCCTTACAGCTGAATCTTGGCTTCACGGTAGATCTGTATTTGCTAAAGGCATAGCCGGTTGTGTAGACACAGATGGTGATGCCCCAGCTATAAAGGCTCATGTCTTTGTTTATCTCTGCAATTTGCTTTCAGCGTATAAGAACTGCACCTGGATCCACAAAACAAAACAAAACCTTTTGTCTGCTTGGTAAATTGTTCCCAGTTCATAAAAGAATAATACTCATAAGACAAACCCACCAAGACATATATATTTAAAGGGCTGGGCAGCTGCTGAACCTCACACTTTTTCTTGCTCACAGTTCACGGGGAACATGTTGTTCAGAGGGAGAACCTGGGTTTGGTTATACATCAGGACAAGTATCATTCTAGGAAGTAAACTACATAGCTCAGAGCCACAGGAGAAAAATCTTTGTTATCAGCTTAACAGATTTAAGTGCAGCTTTGAGAAAGCAGAAAATTACTGTCGTGCCCACGGAGGACACCTTGCTCATACTTGGAACAAGGAAGTTGAAGATTCCCTCCGGAACTTTCTGGACGAAGGAAAGAAGTGGTGGGTTGGGAAAGACATTGACCTAAGGAAGCATCATGAGGAAAACCACCCAGGTAAGGCTCTCGGGGTCAGTGTTTAGCAAGGAACCTCCCTCACATTTTATTTTGGAACAGGAGAAAGAAAACAATTTTAATCTTTCTGCTTTTGTATACAGAAAAATCAGTCACTTTACTTCGTTACCATCATTCCTCTGACATTTTTTCTTGTGCTACAGCCTTCGATTTGTCTGCAACAAAGGTGATGAGATTTTTCTCAGAGCCTACCTAAAGTTAACTTACCTAACATTTCACTAAAAATTGTGCTACATTCTAAAGAGGGACACTTCTTATGGTCTTTTTTCCCCTCTAGTAAACATCTCTTTGTTATTCTGGGCTCCGAGTTTCCTAATGCAAAAACCAGGAGAACGATTATCTACCTATTTTCTTTCTTACATAGTAGTTTCAAAGTTATGTGCCATAATCTCGAAGTTTTAGGAAAAAACCTCCAGGGCATTATTATATCCTCATCATCTTCATGAACATGTGGATAAATTAATAGTAAGCCTTGTGGTAAAGAATACACACAAAATAATCTATAACGAATAGGCAGACATCCTAAATTTTCGTTTATTGGAAACCAGCCAAACTTGGTTTGCATATTTTTTTTTAAATGTCTGACTTTTAAGTATGAAGCTCATCTGGATCTGGTCTCCTCTCAGCAGATGTCACAGCAGCCCATCCGCCAAAGCCCGTGGGCTGCACACACCTGTCCAGAAACTTGAATCGGATCTCATCTGAAGAGGACGCTTGCTTACTGCGATATTATTTCATTTGCCAGACTGGTAAGTAATGAAGTTACGTGCTACCAAAGACCCAAGCTTTTAAAACTGATTCTAAATAAGAAGCATGCGTTGGGAGTATTAGTTAAATAGTCTGTGAGTGATACACCAGAGGGCGGCTATAGGGATTCTGATTTTCCTGATACTGATCAGAATGAGAAACTGTGTTCATTTGGAGTGACCAACGGAATGCATCCCACGCTGGTAGTTGGAAAAGAGTCGTGTGTTGATGTTCCCCTCACGTTTTGACTTGGGCAGAGTGTGGGAGAAATTGTATTGGTGACCCTCGTGTTCCGCGTGTACACCCCTAATCCATTCAGCCCGGGGGCTTTAGAGGAATGAAAGGGAAAGCTAAGGAGGAAAAGAGAATGCGGTATAGGAAAACGGGAAGACAAAAGTGAGGAGGTTGGTAGCAGATCAGAGTTAAGCTACATGTGTATGTGTGGCGGCTGTTGTTTTTTTAATTAAGCAATGTTTCTCCTGGTGACGCTTCTGCTTTCATACTTACATAAAGCATTTATTCTTAGCTCAATGAATTCTCAGAGACCTTATGATGTCTCAGATTGTCTAGGTAGAAATTTTGTTTCACATTTTAAAACATCACATTCTTATTAACATATGAAGCATCTATAGGTAACTAAAACGAGATACATTGCAATCTTTCTCCTGCTTGATGATAACGCGACTGTCTATGCAGATAATTCCCAGGAATCTACAAATCTCCTGGAACTAATAAGTGAGTTCAGCAAGGTCACAAGATGCAATAAAAATGTACAGAAACCACTTGTGTACTGTACTTGGAACAAGGATATAGATACCAAGATCTAAAATACAATTCTCACAATTTTCCCCAAAAATGAAATAGGTATAAACATAACAAAACAAATACAGAATTTGTATGCTTAAAAACTACAAAATGCTAATGAAAGAAATCAAAGAACATTTCAGTAGAAGAAG